TTGGTCAAATTTCAAAGATTTTCTTGGTTGTGGTGGAGGGCGTCGAAACACTAGTTGTATGGGCCATTGTACTTATAGACACGGATTGTCAGTGTCCCGGAATTAAGTCAAGCTTTACAAATAGTAGACACACTTTTTATCCGTTTATTGGACGGGAGTAGATGTTTACCCCTTGTTTACCGTTTCGGATTGTATTTCCGTTTCCTTTTAAAATCTTCTCATTTTTTCTTGGTGCCGGGGGGGGGGGGGTTGTTGCGTTCGAAACCCTAGTTCTATGGGCTATTGTGCATATAATGTAAATGCATTGTTAATGGTTTTACTGCAGAAATTAATTGACAACCATAAAAAGAGAATATCATTGGTCAGAAATTAAGATAAACATTATTAACAGAATATAATATACGTGTAATGATTTTACGGAAGATATGCATTGTGAATCAAGACAAACGGATTATCAATAATCAGAAATAATTGCAAGCTTTACTATGAGGATTAAGCTATTATATAGATAGATAGATAGATAGATAGATAGATAGATAGATAGATATTGATAACATTAGTGGTTAATATACACATACATATGCAATCATATATCTAAACTATATAAATATATATACATACATATATACATACACATAAATATGTATATGTATAAAAAAATAATTCCAAAAGGATAGAATCCAGGTAGAACTCAATGTCTTGGACAGAGTAAGGATATGTGCCCGTGAACTTTCGCGGATCGGGCTGCTATCTCATTTGGCAGCCCACAGAAGACGGACGGAGATGGATGGACAGTGTCGTGGTCAGCTATGACGGACAGTCTAAGAGAGAGATATATCCTGTAAATGCACTTCTGATTATTCTAATATGAAAAAAAAAAAGCTTTAAAACTAAGGAAAACGATATGTTTCAATGAAGAGAAATAAAGGCAAGCGTTACTAACAGAATATAGCTATTATCACTACCCTAAGACACAGTCATCATCCCAAGAGATGGTGATAGTTCCCTTGAAGGAAATGGCGAGTGCTTTTTACATGAGTACGGGGTTAAACAAGTCCAGCTCCGCCCTTCTCGACTTCCCTCCAGGATCCAGTGACAAAATGGGCGTTTAAGACTGCAGTTATATGTTCGGTCGCAGTGAACTGTCTGACCAAGCTTCAATGCAAATAATGTTCCAGTCGTGTTTTGAGTACCAGCTAAGGCTAGGGACCCCAGTCTGCCCTGCTATTTAATCCATAGCTAAGTGGTAGAACACATAGTTTCAGTTGTAGTTCGAAATCAGCCATTTTTTTCCGTTAACCGCCTAAGTACCTGCATCTATTACTCGGGATTTTGAAACACATTATATATATATATATATATATATATATATATATATATATATATATATATATATATATATATAAAGAATATGAACATATAAAGCATATATATATATATAAGAATAATGAATATACATATATATATATATGTATATTCATATTCTTTTATATGCCTTTTTTTATCTCTACTCTTTGTAATTAAATATTTCTGCGGTTGAACGGTCATAGGCGTCAGGCTAAAGACGATTCCGTATAGGATACAGGTTCGCTTCCTGTGGAGGACGCATATTTTCTTGAACATTCAGGCCGGTAAATCTAATTAATACTGCTTAATTAAAAAAAGTCATTTACCTCAATTAAGTGTATCCATAAAAACTTATAAACAGAAAATATATTAAAATATTTGTAGGATTTAATTCATTTCACACACACACACACACACATATATATATATATATATATATATATATATATATATCACTAGATCTAGTGATATTGACTTAGCAATGAAACTTTTGAAATCTCTTACTCTTCATATACCCGTGACATGAAATAGTTATTAGAATTCCTCTCCAAGAAACTTATTGTTTTAATATATTTTAAATTCTTTAGTTGAATAATAACTTTTTTAATATACAGTTGGCCTTTGTCGGATTTTATAGTCATTTAGCTTATTCTCTTTTTTACAAAACATATTAGTTCATTGTACATTTCACTGCTCTTCTGCCAGTTAATATATATATATATAGAGAGAGAGAGAGATAGATAGATAGATAGATAGATAGATAGATAGATAGATAAGATATGCATGTGTATATGTGTGTGTGTGTGTGTGTGTGTGTGTGTGTGTGTGTGTGTGTGTGTGTGTGTGTGTGTGTGTGTGTGTGTGTGTGTGTGTTTTCGTGTCGTGGTTCTTACCGCTTGACGATCGATTTGTTAGAAACTCTGAGTAGTGATTTGGACCTGGGCTTTTTTTTGTTGGTTAGTGTATATATATATATATATATATATATATATATATATATATATATATATATATATATTAATGACGTACATGATTATAAGATGCAAAAGAATTAAAAACAAAATTATGTTCTATGTCAAAACAGAGCAAACTAATATCGTATTAAATAAATAGCATGTCGATTTAATCTTATATTCAACTACTGATCTTCAGATTTCTAAGTGACATAATATATATATATATATATATATATATATATATATATATATATATATATATAATCTTAACATATAGCTGTAAGTAATGCTGTATAGGTGCAAAGTAAGAGTGTTCTATATCAGGAATAGAGCATGTGTAAATAGTCTGAACGTTACGCTCAAGCAGCGTACTGTCGCCACACCACAGCCTGTCGCCAGGCTGTGACCACACTTTCATATATATATATATATTTATGAATAAAAATGACAATAGGAAAACTGGTAATTGCTGACGCGTTTCCTCCAATGTGGACTTTATCAAAGCAAAATACGAAAATGAAATATATATATATATATATATATATAGGGTTAGTAAATATGTTAACAGTCAGTTAAATGGTAGAAATCAATAATTCAGAAAACTTACATCATATGTGCAAGATGATTTAACACAATAATTTTTACCAACCACACACGCGCACACACACACACACACAAATAGAAATTTTATTGAGTTAGTCTCCAAACGATTTTTTAGGATTTTTTGTATGACAGCATCCGTTTTTAAATTAAAATTTATAATTCTTATTTTCAAACTTAAATGCTAACCTGAGCCTAAATTCAAAACCAAAATTAAGCTGCAATTCATTTAAACACTTAACAACAAAAGATAAGAAACGGTGTAATTCCAAAAATTGTTCCTGAAGGTAGCAAATTGCATAAAACTCCATGCTGTAGGGTATTATGTATATTTTTTTTATATTTTAAATAGCTCTGTTATAACATTGAGCACAGTTTTCTCTTTACACTAGGGTATATATATATATATATATATATATATATATATATATATATATATATATATATATATATGCATTTGTATATGAACGCTTGCTCGTGAATTTACCTGCATTTATCTATTTGATTACATTAATTATAATCATATATATATATATATATATGTGTGTGTGTGTGTGTGTGTGTGTGTGTGTGTGTGTGTGTGTGTGTGTGTGTTCGTCCTACAACACATATATATTCTTAACGCCGTGTGTTTCACTTAGCTATATTTATGTATATTACGGGTACTGGTTAATTTTTAATACAACATTTTGATAATTTAAGATATTGTTATCAAATTTTACTAAGTTGTGTATTTTGTTTGGTGAACTCTTTCATAGTCAATTCATCTTTAAAATTTTACTTCAACCACGTCTTTCGGAATAAATAATAATGCACAGTTCTTAATAATGTTGATAGTAAGCTTTAGAGAAAAGTAGTAGTGTTCCGGACTTCCACAGCAGAGTCTTTGCCTGTTTCCTTGATTTGCATACTTCTAAAATTGTTGCTTATATCTCTCTGTTCTTTTGTTGATATCATATCTGGCTTTTATGGTCGTGTTTGAAGCTTATTTTATAACTTTTCCCACATTACTTTTTTAATATCCTTATCAATTTGTTTCTCATTATAAGTTGAAATATTATTACACAACCCTATGGTTGATATACGTTACATATTTTTAAGTATTAAATATTTGTTAACTAATTTTCTACTTTTTTTTAGAATTGTTATGTTGTTATGGCATTTTTTATAAAAAATAAATTACATTTTATATTTACGTTTATAAAAGTCTTTTTAAACTGAAAAATGGTTCACAACTCTTAAGTGTTAAGGTTAGCAGATTTTATAAGAAAAGATCGGGCTAAGTTTTGAACTGTTTATTAGTTCACTATATATATATATATATATATATATATATATATATATACACTTTTGAACACATATTCGGGCTTTGTTTGATCAGGAGGTCTTACATGGCCGAGTGGTCTAAGGTACGTCAGATCTAATATATATATGCGCGTGTGTGTGTGTGTGTATGTGTGTGTGTGTGTGAATTTGATTTAGAAACGTTACATGATTTATTTTGAATATCTCTCTTCTTTTACTGAGTTCTTTTCCTTCCTCCGAATTTGTTTCATCGTATTATCTCACTTTTTTTTTTATGTCTTTCTTTCTTTCGTTCTTTCTTTCTCCACAAACTGTAACTAAGGTCCGCTCAGCATAGTTACAGGTGAGATCTGTGGGTGTTGAAAAAACACATATGAGCCTGAGCAGGCGTCTGCAATAGGGATTGGCTAGACGCCCAACCAGACAAGAATACTCGGATAAAAGCGGCCAGACCATTACTTTCACACACACACACACACACACACACACACACACACACACATATATATATATATATATATATATATATATATATATATATACATTAAATATTACCCTAAAACACCTCTTTTGGCTATTTGGTCAAATTTTCGGAAATTCTAGCAATCAGCAACTTTTCAGCCCCTTCGTATATATCAAACATCTCCCTGTGCTTTTCTAATGACTTATACACCTTCTTTTTTTTTTTTTTTTTTACACATCAACAGTTCGTCATTTTATTTTTGTCTGTTTCTTTTTTCTTTCATACTGTTACCTACCCCCATTCTTTCTTACATCTTTTATCATTTTCTCATGCATTTATTCTCTCTTTCTTTCTCCCTCTCTCTTCCTCTCCCCACCTCTCTCTTTTTACATAGTATCAAAATCCCTCATTACAAGTGTCTTTTTATTTCTCTCTTACTTTCTTCATCTCTGCATCTATCTATCTATCTATCTATCTATCTATCTATCTATCTATCTATCTGTCTGTCTGTCTGTCTATCTATCTATCTATGTATCTATCTCAGTATACTAATATCTATTTCAGTCTATTCATATCTATCTATCTGTCTATCTATTTATCTATCTATCTATCTATCTATCTGTCTGTCTGTCTGTCTGTCTGTCTGTCTCAGTATACTAATATCTATTTCAGTCTATTCATATCTATCTATCTATCTATCTATCTATCTATCTATCTATCTGTCTGTCTGTCTGTCTGTCTGTCTGTCTCAGTATACTAATATCTATTTCAGTCTATTCATATCTATCTATCTGTCTGTCTGTCTGTCTATCTAACTGTCTGTCTATCTATCTATCTCTGTATACTCATATCTATTTCAGTCTATTCATATCTATCTATCTATCTATCTATCTATCTATCTATCTATCTATCTATCTATCTATCTATCTCAGTATACTAATATCTATTTCAGTCTATTCATATCTATCTATCTATCTATCTATCTATCTATCTATCTATCTATCTATCTATCTATCTATCTGTCTGTCTGTCTGTCCGTCTGTCAACCACTCTTAGTTCTCTGTTCTTTATCTATATCTCTTTATCCTGTTTTTCTGTGCTGTCGGCTCAGATTTTAATTAACTTTACATCCGGGGCTGTGATTCGATGATAGCGAAAATGATATGATGTCAAACTGAGTCCATTTTCCTTGTATATATTTATATTCATTTGGTCATTCATTCATATTTTTGTGTGAATTTATTGGAACTTTAATCGAAAAACAAACAGCAACAAAAAAAGCACGTTTGTTAAAAACAACTACATGATAAATATTATCAAATGTGGTAATATTATTGTCTGTATAAATGTGGAAAAGCTAAACAAAAAAGTAATTCTTGTAATGTAATTGTAGCTCAGATTTTAAAGCACCTGTACACACACACACATATATATATATATATATCACCTTGTATATATATATATATATATATCTTGTCTCACTAAACCAATTATGGCTGAGTAGTAGGTTCGATTTTCAATCGGTGTTTGCTCTTCGGTTCTTCTTCCCTCTATCTATACTTGGTAAATGCATAAGACAATTTTCATCATTGTTTTACTTTGACATGTTTCGCCGTTTATACGGCGTCATCAGGAAAAATTTGTTTCTCTTCTGATGAAGTCGGATAATCGACGAAACCTGTCAAAATAAATAATTTTTCAAATTTTCTAATACATTTAACATTCCGTCGGGTTCTCATCCAACTTTACTCACACACACACACTGGTCGCCAGAAATAATGTTGTGCAACAAAATTCTTTTTTTCTGATGATGATGATGATGATGATGATGGCGCATCGATAAAACATGTCGGAGTAAAATTTTAAAAAGTTACGTAGATAGATAGATAGATAGATAGATAGATAGATAGATAGATAGATAGATATTCAGACGAAGTGGAAAAGTTTTTATTGACAATGCATTTTGCCTGCGTTAGGTATTTAAGTAGGCGTCATCAGATCAGAATGAAAAACAAAATTTGTACGCGCATTTTTTTTTATATTGAAACCGTTAATTCAATTCACACACAGATATGTCTTTCATTCTGACTCGAAGACGCCTACTGAACTGCCTAATGAAGGCGAAACGCGTTGTCAATAAAAAGGTCTTCACTTTGATTTCCCCACTTTCGTTCAAATTCGATATCCTACTAACATACACACACATACATACACACACACAAATATATATATATATATATATATATATATATATATGCTTATTTGATGAAATGGTTTTTGTATGTGTATCTTTGCATTTTTAACATTTCACAAATACAATAAGAATCCCGTAAACCACAATAGTTTTGGTTACATTAATTCTGATGAATTTTTCATACAGCTACATCCCTAATATATATATATATATATATATATATATATATATATATATATATATATATATATATATCATAGTAACATTAAATAGCTACTCACAAACAATATCAAAATATAAGCAAAATCGAATAGTAAAAACATACTTATAATCCTCGAAGCAATACTTATGCAATAAAAACAACCATCTATAATTAAAAACAATTATAATAAGTGCGCACATCCTCAAAAATATATAAAACACACACACACACACACACACACACACACACACACACACACACACACCTTACCTACGTCACTACACTCACTAGTTCTACAAAAATTAACCATTTGTCTTTAGCTACCCAAAATATGATTGAAGAAAGTCGAAACCTTGGACCCTATTTCTTCTGAAATAAACTCTGGACAATTTCTGGCAGAATTCCATCCTTATTTCAGAAAGATTATTCGTAATTTTCAAAATTCGATCAATAAAAGGTTAATCGACACGTTGCCTATTGTCTTACCTTCTGGGACTTCAATGTTTATGCGTCTGTAAGCATCAGACGGGGATATTCACCTGTAAGAACATGCCCATTCGTATGTATACACCCACGCACTTCCTGTTGACCTATATATGTGTTGACAGTGACATTAATTGATATTTAGATATATTTCTGTTTTTAACAATGGGTAACATTGAATACATTCATAACTGCTCCGATAGATTTTGGCACTATTCAGAAGAGTGCTTTCGGTTCTGTCTTTGGTAAAAGTCATGCAGTCATCTCTCTTTGGCCTTATAATGTGTCAGGTTCTCTCAGAAGTTTAGCATGGCAATCTGCGACATCGATCTTTCTAACTTTACCATACTCGACAGAAGACGATAAAAGCTTATACCAACTGAAAATACATACATTTTTTTTTATCTTAATTCGTTACCGCTTTCTTGAAATTACTTGCATATATATATATATATATATATATATATATATATATATATTGAATGAAACTTATGCACCTATGTATATAAATATTTGTAAATACATATACAGATGTATTTGTCCGTGTGTAACGCTATATTTTGAAATTTATGCTTTTTGTGTTATTTTTTAAAATTAATCTTTAGACGGAGTATTTTCACTATTATTATATTATTATCAGTTTGACTCCATATTTATTATTGTTGACTTTATCGCAACATTCTCTGGGCGGTATATTCTTCAAGCACTTGAACAATCAGCACAGTAACAGAAATAAAAAAAAGTGACTTCTGATAAAATTTGAATAGTCAGTAATGAGAACAAATATTATGGCTTAAAAAGGGCATTTTAAAGCATATATTCACATAATTTATTTATGCAGATATATTAAAACAAATGGGGAGGAAGATAAGGATAATGGCGAATGTTACTCATTGTAAAGTGGCAAATCAAAAAAAATATAGTGCTTTAGACCCTGTATATTAAGTCTAAGCAGCCTTCCCTTTGTAAGCAAATTTTAAATTTGTAAAATTTAAATTCACTGTTCGTCGTTATCTTCCGTCTTTTTAATTCTTGTTCTTTTACTGTTCTCACTACTTAATAATGCTTTTTTCCCCTTTTTTGCTCATATTCTCTTACGTCTTAATGGCTTTATTACCTTCTTTGGGGTGAAATTATTAAAATCACCAGAAGGAATGGTTGCTTTATGTAATCACTCTGGTATTCATATCTAGTAGTTTTTTCCCCCTTTTAGTTGTTGTGCAAATATTTATGTTTTGTTACCGATTGAGCTCTGAAGAGCGAGGAGCGATAATCGATTAGATTTCTTTTTATTTTATTTAATTTTTTTTATTTGACGGTATTGTTTCTTTTTCCTTATCTTTTTCGATTCAACACTTGAATATTTTTATTATTTTTCCTCCCCTTTTATTTTAATGTATTTGTATAAATTGATATATACGTTTAAAATGTTCGTTTTTAAAGTCATGATAAAATTTGAACCCGCACCCCGCACTCCTCAAAGCTTTCATTGCCGAAGTGGTCAAGGCGACGTCCATAAAAGACGTGTGGGGATACAAATACAAATATTCTCAGAAGTTGCATTTTTATCTCCGATTAAGCGAGTAGCCAAAAATATATATATATCAACCACAACAGGTTGTGATAAAAGGAAACAATAATAAGCTGGAGTAAAACTAGGAATTTGCTTGACAGTGCTTATTATAAATTCAATTAAAAAAAATGGTTTTCATCATTTTTATATTTCACATCAGCAAAGGGAACGCACTAACAATATATATATATATATATATATATATATATATATATATATATATATATATATATATATATGAGATCTGAACAGAAAGTATCGGGACTGTTGAACCCTGTCGCGCATGCGCCCTAAGTTCTCGCTCACTTCCGTTGTTTGTAGCAGTGCTTGGAAGGAAGTGTGTATAGTGTGGTCGTCTCACCACACCACATATTTTCCGTCAGTGGCCATGACTTGTGCAGCGTTTTTTGTCCAATGACAATATTCCCCACGTCCAACAATCACCATATTCCCCAGAATTTGCCGCTTGCGATTTTTCATCTTCAAAAATCAAATCCCACTTGTAAGGAACTAGATTTCAAGATGTCGTGAAAATCCAAGAGAATGCAACGAGGCAGCTGCTCGATATCCCGAAAAAAATGTTTCCATGATTGGAAACGATGCTGGATAAACTGTGTGGCTTCAGAAAGGGACTGCTTCGAAGGAGATTAAATGGCGAATTAATATGTGCTGCAGTTTTTTGGGGTTTTTTTTTTGTAGAAAATGCCTGATACAATTTATCAGCACCACTTCCATATATATATATATATATATATATATATATATATATATATAAATTAATAACTTATGATATTCGTTATTTTATTTTTTGTTTCTCTTCAGTGTTATTTTAGCTATGGTTCATTGGATTATCACTGTTTATTATTCTGCGTTCAGGAACTGATATATATATATATATATATATATATATATATATATATATATATATATATATTTACTAAATTTCACCCACTACAATGTTCGAGAGCCACTCAATGTAGAATGTTACTATTAAAATGGTTATTTGAATGAGGTATGTGCCGTGAATGACATAAGTATGACAATTATGAGGATGAGGAGAATAGATAACTATTGACGCTTGACATCAAGTGATTAAGATTGTTCAGGGAAGCATACACACGAGTGCCTATACCACAGAATAGCAGTTCTTGGGAGTTATTTGAGTGGAAGGTACTCCTCACATCTGCAAACGGATGAAATAAGGGTTCCGTAGAAGTAGCATTGCGTGTCAGCTGTAATATAGACATATATGTATATATGTGTGTGTGTGTGTGTGTACGTGTGTGTATGTGCCTGTGTGTGTGCGCGCGCATGTGTGCGTCGGCTACGATAAGTTCTCCTTTCGTTTTTTCATACATATATACATATATATATATATATATATATATGATAGAATATAGTTTTAAGGTATACTATATTTATGGGTTAAAGTGCTCAATATCAGGGATAGAGCGTATGTAAATAAAAAGAGTACATGGCCTGACAATTGCGTTTAGCATGAAAGAGACTCTTCTCGGTGTTGACTTTAATGTCCACTTTTTTATATATATATATATAAATTCGGGGCTTTTAGCTTCCATTTTTGAAACATGGTTAGAACTATG